CGGCCATTGTCTAGAAGCCTGAGCATGCGCAGATGTCCTTTCTCCAATCCTCGGCCACTGAGGGACGCCCAACTCATCTTTGCAACAGGAGACTCAGGTATGTTCTTTGTTTGATGGAATTCTTTAACTCGGTTGGCTTTGGGGTTCCAAGGCTGGCCATGGGGGTGAACAGTGACCCCGGGGGGGGTGGGTCTCCCCGCCACTTCTTCTGCCAAAGCATCATTTTCCCCGAATGGTTGCCCTTCCTCCCTTGTCCACTAACCGGTTGCTGCATCCGTCACAGCTCACACCTGAGGGATGGGGTAGGAGGCACAGGCGGCCAGTCCGCACATGTTCTTCCCTCGCTCGATGAGGAAGTACCTGGGCAGAGACAGGAAACTGAGGCCTACTGGTGGCTCCCACAGTACAGATATTTCTAGTATGTTCTGCTGCTCCCCAAGGGCTCACCCTGGGTAGTGTGTGCGCTGAAGTTATTCAGGAAACAATAGAGTTGGGACTTCTCACTAGGAAACTGCTGACCTAACTACCCAAATAATTCATCTTTCTATCTCTTTGGCTGGCAATTTAACTGTCATCTTTTATCCACATCCTCCAAAACTGATCTTGGCCCTGGCTAGGCTGGCTCTCATAGAGTTAGTTATTTTTCAAGAATCATTAGTTGTTAATTGAGATAACGATTAAAACTCTCCTTTGAGGATGAGGATGTGAATTTGAGAGAAAAGACACAGAGTCACATCAGGATGGGTCAGGGATTAATGGTACACTTCTCAGCTTGATTTCTCAGAAACGGACCCTCCCGGGGGCTGGCTCAGGCCCCACAGGGACTGGATGTGAACTCTTTTCGTAGAACTGATGACAGAGCTGAATGAGCCAGAAAGTCTCCTGTTCTCAGTGCTGAATCATTAAGACATGAGGCCAGGACAAGAGAGAGGTTGCTAAGAGGAGCCTTTGAGGCTGTGGAAGTGACATTCCAGGATGTCCCCCTCCCCTGGTCTGGGTTAGGGCTCAGCTGACCAGCTTCCTGGAAAGTCCCCTGGGAGCCACATCTCTGAAGCAAGAGTGGTGTCCTCCAGAGCCTCCAGACTTGTAGTTACCTTGCACCCCCATGGAATCAGATTCTTGCTTACCCGTTCATCCCCCAGCTGGAACCCCAAGAGTTTTTCACGATCCAGTAAGGCCTCCCGTTTTCTTCTCCATACCCAACAGCCAGTACTGCATGGTTAACTTTATCTGGAGTTTTATGGCAGGAAGTACTAGGAAACGCAAACAGAGAGGAATTGAAAATTACACTCAACAGTGGTTGTTGTGCTTTAGAGCAGTGCTTCCCCAAGGACAGACTAGGAGGCAGTCGTGTTGGCACGTTAAGGATTGCTTAACCAGAATGTGAGGATTTAGTTCCTTTACCCCAGGGAAGAGAGAAGAACCTCTGTGTAGTCAGTGTTAACCCATCTTTAACCCTGACACTCTCTAAGTCCTCGTTCATAACAGGAAATGTCTAGGATCAGGCTCTGCTTTCTGTAGGCTTCCATGTAGTGTCCACATAATAGCTTTGTTGTGTTGTCATGGCATTTGTTTTTAAGGTAACTTTCCTATTTATGGCAAATATACAGGCTTTCCAGTGATCCAGTTGCCATGAAGAAATGCAAAGGAATTCAAGAGGACAAATCCCAGGGTTATGTACAAATTCAGTGGATGTGGACTGAGTTTGAGCATGTGCTGGGCCTGGGGCAAGGTGCTGGGATGTGGGTGGTAGGCACAGCTCTGCTCTTGCAGAAGCAGATGGGCAAGGAGGCTATTTCTAGACAGGAGACTGAAGCTATGCCACTGGAGAGTTACAGGATGCCTGAGAACTCCAACCCAGTAGGGTCAGGGCAGGCTTCCTTGAGAAGGCAGGGCTACAAGCATGAAACTACACACCTTTTGTTGCATATAAGCAGAGCTGCAGGGTGAGATGGGTGGCTTTTGATGGGTATTGAACTTGGAGAAATGGGAAGAACCAGATAGTGAGAGTCCTTCCAGGTAGGAGGTTAAGACTTTTATCATGAAGGTGATAGGGAGAAAATGGAGTGCTTAAAGGTGGTTGGCAAGACGAGTATTCCAGAATGTGACTCTGGTCTCCAGTGGAATGTGGACCAGAACTGGGAGAGGGTGGTAATGGGAGGGGGCAGAGACAGAAGGGAGATTGAGCAGTGTGAATGGGTAACATCTGTGCGGATTGAGGGCAATGGAGGTTTCCAGAATGGCTCTTCTCTTTCACTTGTGCAAGGATGCTGACCCCACTGTCCAGGGCCTGGGGGAGGAGTAGTGTAGGATTTGAGGTTTCTATAAACATGTGGTTTGAAAGCTCCAGCTGCTCTGTGGCAGAAAGATGGGAAGTCTCTTCCAGTGTGTTTTACTGCCTCTGAAAATCTACTGAGGGTCAGCTATAAATCAGTTCTGACTTGATGGTACTCAACAACAATAACTCAAGCTGAGATGTCAGAGGGGCCTGTGGATCTATAGGGTTAACACTCAGCAGAAACCAGGCTGGCAGATGAGGAATTTCTCAGCAAGCATTTAGCCATGGAGAATGGCTGTGAACGCCTGGGTTGGGGGGTCTATTAGTGAGAAGACTAAAGATAGATGAAGAAAAATCCCTCAAGAGCACCAGCAATTCAAAGGTGGCTTGAAAATGAAGAGACCATGAAGGGGACTCAGGGAAGAAGGCAGGAAGTGGCAAGTGACAAGGAACTTCGTTCTTCTGAAGAACTCTGTGGTGAATCCTTCAGCAGAGGGTTCTGGTATTTTGAGAACAGCTACTTTCTCTTCCCTATTTCATGTCTTCAGATTTTAGGACTTGAGATTTTTTTAATTGGTGGAGTTCTTTTGAGGAAGACAGAGCTCTGAGTTTAAATCCTGGCACTATTCTTGATAAGTGACATGGCTTTGATGTGTCACATCTCTTGTACTTCTCACCTCTTCTGTCAGATGGAGAATGTTGGCTCCTGACCCCAATAGCCTGCACCAGGATTAGCTGAGGGAATGAATATATAAATTCTAGGACATGGTATGAAGGAACAGTGTGAGCAGCAGGCTGGGAAGAATGCAAATCCCACCCCTCTCCCTCCTGGCTCCCAGGGCCTCAGCTCACCTGGAGTAGATGCCCTTTCTGTACATCATGAAGTCCTCTGTCACCTCAAAGGCAAAACTCACAGGGTTGTACAGGGCCACGGCCTCCACCATCGACTGCTCATCATTCTGTGGACAGAGGGACCCATGGGTGGGCATACACAGCCTCTGTCATATTGTCAATCTACTTTCAAAATAAGACTCTCTGCACTAAAGTGGGAACAGAGGCCCAAAACAGTGGAGAAGTCTATCAAACAGAAGGGGCGAGGCAGAAGTTCAGACCAAAGAGCAGCCACTAGGGGGCGAGCTGTTCCCCTTCTGCAGCTGAACCTGGGCCATGTGTCTCTTGGGCTTGAATGGGCCAGACTTCTTGGTTTGTATTTACTTTATCGGGCCCTCCTCCCTAATCAAACTGCTGCCCTGTAACCTCTGTCCCCTGACTGGACTGGTTCTTCTCCCCCACTCCCACCCAACTCTTTGGAAACCCTGTGCCCTAAGGGAAAGGGACTTTGGGGTGCAGTGTTGACTTGCTCATTCAGACACCATCATTCACTAAGGCAACATCCTTGGATCAGAGGTGTGACTCCTCCACTCCTACCTCCATGAGTCCCTGAACTCACAAAACCATTCCATAGAAGAGTTTTTTCCCAGGGGAGAGGTGAGTACAGAATGTAAGATTTCTAAGTACATGAGTGAATAAGATCCAGAGTATTGTAGGAAAAAGAGAAGACCCACAGTTAGGGATTGAATTGTGTTCTCCCCAAAGTATGTGTTGGAATTCTAACCCCTTATACCTGTCGATGTAGCAATGTTTTGACATAGGCTTTGTTGTATCAATTAGATCATACCTGAGTAGGGTGAGTCCTTAATTTAATTGCATGTAAATGATAAAAGGTGCAGATCTCTCTCACACAGCCACACATACCTACACCCCTACAGATGCCAGATGCCAGGTGAGGATCGTACAAACCAAGGAACCAAGGATGCCCAGGGCTACTGCCAACAAGGAAAGAATCACCATGATCACCATGGCCAACACTCTGATTTGGACTCTTAGCCTCTAGAACTTTAAGAAAGAAATTTAAATGTCTCTTCTTTAAAGTTATGCACTAAGGTGTTTGTGTTACAAAAGCATTGGGTCACATACTCTCTGAGCAGCACCTGCCCCTTTCTGCTGAGGAAGGCACACGGGAGGACATCCAGGAGGCTGCGGCTTTGGAACTGGGCCACAGTGATCCAGTAAGAGTGTCTGTATTAGAACCATGGGGAGGGGATGGCTTTCCAGTGCCATGGTGCCCAGGCTGTACTCTAGACCATTAGAATCTACAGCCTGTACCCCAGGCCATCGGGATCTAGAGGGAGGTCCCCGGGCAGCAGTACTATTTAAAGCCTGACTTCAGAACAAGGGGCACTGAGTGAGTCAATGATGTCACTCTCCTGGTTAGAGGATTTGGAGAGCTGAAATGAAGCTGGAGGTTCTGTAAGCTGAGGCCAGGGCTCTGCTAAAGGGACAGCTGGAGGCTGTGGGCACCTAGCCCTCCTCAGTCTCAGTTTCCTGGCGCAGCAGAGAGATCCGCCCCCTGGAAAAGGCAAATAGCTGACATGCAGTGGCTCTCTTCTCTGAGTTCTCAGAAGAGACCATGTGAGACCCACAGGACATGGATCAACTCTGGGACAAGAAAGACCGGCTCACCAGGGAGGTGGGCACTGCTGTGTGGCTGGCACTATTCCCACAGCTGTCCAGGGGTCCTGGCTCAGCCATCAGCCTGGCCAAAGGGTTGAGTGTGAGTGCTGGCCTGCTCTCAAGGGCTCTACTGGGGTCACCCACAAGGTTCTCTTTGGGACCAGATCAAGCCAACCTTTGGTGGATATGTCTCAAAAAAACCTGGTTATTTTATAAAGACAAATGCATGGTAACCAGTAGTCACCTTATTATGGGGTGCAGGTTGCATATTGACCGTCAGTGCCTTGGTTCTGGAATAACAGGATCCCAGTCTAAAGAAATCCCAGCTTTCACTTCCTAGTTCTGTGACCTTAGCCAAGTTACTTAACCACCTACCTGAGCCTTTGTTTCCTTATTATAAAATTAAGGTAATAAGGGCACTTATAGGGTTATTTGGAGTCTAGAGAAGGGAAGGTATGTTCAGTGGTTGACCCAGCACCTGTCAGTATTCTATAAACTTGTTTTTAGGACTCATTGAATCAGTTCCATCTCACCACTGTCCTGCATACAACAGGATGGAGCACTGCCTGGTCCTGCTATTGTTATAACTCATGTTATTACACGAGCTTGGCATGTACGTCAATCAAATAGTAGCTGCTGTTATTATTAATTTACACATAGCCCTGTGGGCACACACAAACTCAGCCTCCTGTGCTCACAGACACACATCACTGCTCTGTGTACTGTGGAGATGTTAATTTCACCATCTACACACACCAAAGCAAGGATGGCGTGGTAACAAGTTTGTGTATCTGGAGGGGCCAGTCCCTGGAAAAGGGTATGATATTTCGTAAAGGAGAGTGTCCGCAAAAGAGAGCGAGCTTTCAGGCGATGCATGGAGCCAGCGGCTGCAATAGTGGGCTGTGGCAGGACTGGGAAGGGTTTTGTTCTTTTGTACATGCGGCTGCTAAAGATGAATCAGAGTCGACTCAATGGCACTTAACAACAATAGTGACAACACGCATCCCCCCACACTTGTTCATGGGAGGCAGGAGGGCTGTTCACAAACGATCCGGCTCTCGGAGACCAGGCAGCTCTGCATCTCCCCGTTCATTTGCAGTTAGAAATGACTCTTGTTAGTTGTTTGCATTTTAACAGCCTGGGTGCTCTTGTCTAGCAGGTGCTGTTGATTCTGACCCATGTTGATCCTATATGTGTGGAGTAGAACAGCTCTCTAGGCTTCTGTAGGCTGTGAGTGTTGGAAGCACGTCACTAGATCTGCCTTCCTGTGTGTGGTGGCCCTGGGTGAGTTCTAACTGCCAACCTTTTGGCTAGTGGCTGAGTGTGTCACCGTTCATGCCAGCCCCTGGATTCCTGCCTAGGTCTTAGAGTCAGGCAGAGGACACATAGCATAGCCCTGGGTGAGTCAGTGGACATGCAGCCTGAACAAGACATGAACCTTGACTGTTTTAAGTCATTCTGATTTGGGTGCTCTATATTACTATAGCATAACCTAGCTTATCCTGATTGCCACGCATACACTTATATATAACCTTATACATACATGGGACAATTATTATTATTTGCATCTCACCTATAAAACAGTGGAAGCACAAAAATGAAGTCTGGCACGGAACAGGACTCAGAACCAGAGCACCTGACTGCCGGTCCTGAGCTCTTCCCTCCCACAGTTCACCTTGCTGTCCTCACGGCGACTGATACTCAGTGATCATCGAAAGCTTTTCATGTGGTGTGCTCCCAGGAAAGGCTGCCTCTGCCTGGCCCACTGGACATCTAACGAGACTGGTCTTCTTATCAGAGCACTTTCTTTGTCACAGAGAAGGATCCGATACTCACCAGTGTGATGTTGGCCACATCCTTGACAAAAGCAATGGCCTTCTGGGGTTGGAACTTGCAGACACCATCCTGTTCGGGGAAAGAGGGCATGGAGTACAGGTGAGGGCTGCATTGCAGGCTTGTGCTTGCAGCCTGCTAACTTACTGAGCAAAGGTGATGTGTCTTAGGTCTGGGCTGCATGATGGGGTCATTTAAGGGAGGTGCCTTTGTCTTCTAGGAGCTCACAGTCTGGTGGCAGGGGATAGGCCTGCTACAGACGTTGACAAGAACAAGCAGAGCACTTGGGGAACCAGAAAGGGGCCTAATCCAGCAGGGCAGCTTGCTGAGAAATGGAAGCTGGGTAAGAGCCTGCTTGGCAGGAAAGGAGGAGAGGGCTATTCATGATAGGGAGCAGGGCTGACAAGGAGCAGAGACAGGGTCACACGGAGGCATGTGAATGCCCTTCTGTGACAAGAGCAGGGAGAAGGCCAAGAATGACGAGAGCTAGGACCCGTGAGAGGCAGGACTTTGTGGTTAGGAACCAACAGATGGCTCAGTGGGAGCATAAAGTTTATGAGGAGAGAGAACAAGGAGATAAGCCTGGAAAGATTGATCTGGGTGGGGCAGGGGGCCTTGAGGGGCAGGCCAGAGTTTGTACTTTATCTTGCAGGCATTGAGTTCAGAACAAGGTAGAGGTGTGGTGAGAGTTGGGTCTGAGAGGTGTGCTGGCAGTCCCTGTGTGAAGGGTGGTCCAAGGGGAGGTAGCCCTCGCCGGTCTAGGGTGAAGGCAGGCAGGGCATGAATGGGGAAAGGGGCACAGGGTGTTGGTAATGGAGTAGACGTGAGATGGTACATGATGGGCAGAAGGTTGACCAAATGAAGGTCTAGGAAAAAGGAGGGGGGGGCAAGAAGATTTGAGGGAGGCTGGTGTTGCTCATACTGAAGAGAAATCAGGAGGAACGTAGGCAGGGGAAAGACTAGATCCTGGACTGTGGACAAATGTGGGACCAGCACTGAGAGGCTGGCCACCACTGTGTCCAGTGAGAAGGGAAGAAGTCAGAGAACGGTGTTCTAGAGCATGGTCACAGGACAAAGAGGACCAGAGGGAACAGAGCAGATCTGAGGGGTAGGAGAGACCTCGAGAAGGGTTCCTCAGGAAGGAGGGATGAACCACAGAAAAGGCAAGGAGAATGATTCTGATACAAAGCCCTTGGATTCAGTGAGAGCAGTGGGCTCAGGCAGTCAGAGGAGGTGTCAGAATGAATGTGGAAAGAAGACAGTTCTGAGTCTTAGCAGAAGGAGTAGCGTTGACGCTCAAGGGAAGGGTCAAGGAGGCCATGGGTAGGTAGAGTGGAGGCGGGGAGCTTTGCAGACCAAGATAGAGCCAGAGCTGCTCAATATTACCCGGCCCTCGTAGGGGTAGGTGTCTTCACCCATGATGCCCTTGTTGTATAGGATGTATTCGAAGGCCTGGCTGGGAAGACCCCTGCAAGAAGCACACACAGATGAGCTCACCTGGCACCAGCCCCGATGAAGGTGGGGAGGTTCTGAGCTTGTTAGATCATTGCTTGGGTACAGCTGGGAGGTCTGGAGTGGGGAGTGGTGGAAGCAGTCTCAGGCTCGGCAATTGCTCGGCTTAGCAAATCTACGTGAGGTGCTCGGAGTCTAAGGACAGGCTCACATATATCTGAGGGGGACAGGGACCTCTGGAAGCTGGGCCCCACTGTCAGGATAACTGGTGTGATGGTCAAGGCACTCTCCTTGCTCTTGGGCACCCAGTTCAGGGCAGGTGATTGGCAAACACTTGTTGCAAGTAAAAATAAAGTATGTTCATTTACATGCCTTTTCAAAGTATTCTCTCCTGGGTTAAAGCTAAGCCCCTTTGAATCTAATTGTGGTGACCCAATTGGTAGCCCTTGGCAACTCTGATGGGACACATGGTCCTGAGTTCCAGTGAGCCTAGGACTTGGAATTACCAGATCCCCCTGGACAGAGAAGCAACCACCTAGATAGATCAGTAGCCCTCTGAACTTGAGCAAATTTTTTTCCGTTATCCGCGTTACTTTTGTTTATCTTGGACTTATTTTTGCTAGAAAGAAAAGGGGAATTACTATGAACAAAGATCAGAGTCTACTCCCCTCTTGAACTGACTGATCACCCTGCAGACTGTGAAGAAGTTACACAAAACCAGAAGTAGCATCTAAAAGAGAAAAAGAAAGAAAAAGAGTGGGGCCCAGAATCTCCTCTTCAGACTCTTGTGATGGGTGATTATGTTTTCTGGTTCTAAGAGAGCAAACAGTGGAGAAAGAAAATTGAAGATGGTTGTGGGTCAGTGGCTGTACCCTCTCTCCTGGGCTCCCACGCCCTCTGCAGAAGGTCCTCCTGTTTGCTGATGTTAAGAACATGAGGTGAGTGTAAGAGGTCTTCTTCCCATGATTTGGCTCCAAGTGGAGAAAACCAGAGCAGTGAATCGGGAGGCCAGGGTGAGGGACGGGCTGCCAGTGGTCAGAGAGGACTGAAGGATGGGCATTTTTCTCCTGGGGTCATGGAAGGCCTGGCTTTACATATATTATCTGCCGGGAAAGCTGACCAATTTCATGGCAGTGCTTCAGAATGCCGTATGTGTGGAGAACAAATAGGGCTAGAGATGCCGGAAATTCCTCACAACTTGTGTTAAGAATAAGCCAGGAAAGCAGGCCCAATAAAGAAATGCATGAATGTCATCACATTTACAGACAGGTTCCCCCACATGGCCTGTCCAGCTGGGGCAGCTAGTACTGTGGAGACCAGGTATCAAGGCCCCGAGCGTCTGTATCCTGCTCATTCTAGGCTTGAAAGACAATGTGTGACTATTCTTCTGACTGCTTACCCAGGGACCTGGGTGGCTGGTGAAGCGGACTGTGTTGTGGAATGAGAGATGGGTGGCACCTCAGAAAGAGGACAGAGTTTGGAACCAGACACCCTGGGCTCACATCCCAGCTCGGCCTGTCTGGGACGCTAGGCGTGCAAGATTACCTCCTCCTCGTAAAGCAGGATAATGTTGCCTGTCAGTGCCCAGTGCACTCTAGATAAATACTAAGTTCCCTCCCTTCCTCGGGAAACCAAGGTTTAACCAGAAATGACCCACTGGAGATGAGAAGGGGATTTGGGGTTCTCTTAGTCAGGGACGTACCCTTGGCAGCCATGGTTGTTGAAGTCCTTGGCGCAGTCCACCAGCTGCTGTTCTGCCTGCAGGGGTGAATGCAAACCCAGTGGTCAGACCATCTCTGCATCTACATGACCCAGTCATAAGCTCCCTGAGGGCGGGGGCTATCACAGAATGCCCTGACGTGCCACATTCAGCTGGTACATGCCATGGTGGTGGTGAGGCCCAGTAATGACCTGGCAGCCAGTAAGTAGGCACTGAGAGGAGTGAGTAGAAATGTACTGGGTGTGAGCTGTACGGGGTCCTGAGGGAGAGGTTTGGCCCAGCCAAGGGCCTTGTTCCATCTCTCCCTCCAGGACCCTCCTTGCCCTTAGGGACATTGCCCTGAACATTCCTTCTTCCCTATGTAACAGTAAATGGCAGGGATGGCACACTTTGTCTGTCTCTCAGTCCTTCACCACTCACACTGGGGAATTGGGTGTGGAAACCTGGACTCCAGCTCTTCTCTCCATGAATAACACTGAGGTAGCTTGGGAAGGGGCCTGGTTCCTACAGGACCATCTTCCAGGCCTGACCCCTCCTTGGTGACAGCCTTGGGATACCCACTGAGGACACCTCATCACCCATGGGTGAGCCTCCGGGCTTTTTCCTCTATAAGCTGTATTTCTTTATGGGAAAGTGTATCTATCGGGACTGTCATCTCAGATGTCACCATAGTAGAGTCACTGGATGTACATGGAACAGCTTTGTCTGCTGCGAAAGCCCCAGAGGACATGGACGGTTCCCCTCCTGGCCACCTGTCATGTCCTGGGACACAGTGGAAGCTCTGTGGGAGGTAAACCAGTGGCCGTTTGCTCACCAAAGAGAGCAGCTTGCCGCCGGCTATGGCGATCGCAGACTCCAGGGCACCTGTGGTGGAGAAAGTCCAGCAACTGCCGCAGGCACCCTAGAAAAGAGGGACGCAAAGAAGTCAGTAACGAGGACTCAGGGGACAGTCTCTGTCTCCTTCCACTGATCCTTCTACAACTCCGGAGGATCCCAGAGACTGCATTTGACCAGGTTGTGCTCCATGCGGGTCCACTGACTCTCAGGTTTGAGAGGAGATGTCCTTCTCCCACATTACAGGGGAGGCAGCTGAGGTGGGCCTGACAAGAGTGACCACAGATGACACTTGTGACTCCCAATCCTGGCCTCCAGCCTCTTCTGTCCTGTGCGAACCTGGATTCCCTACCAACTCCATTCCGTCTTCTCCTCCCCTTCCCTCTACACCCCCTGCCCTTGCTTCTCTACTTCTTGCTTCCCAGCCAAAGGATTCTCCTAAGTTCTCTCTCTAGAATCTTGCCTCTCATTGATCTATCACCATCTCATTTCTACTCATTTTTAACTGTGGAACAAAGAAATCCCTTGAACTCTAGCCTTACCCCTTCCCTCCACTCAGGTCACTAGATCTGACTCCCAGACAGACACTGCTTGGTGCCCGAGACCCTGCTGGTCCTGCCCCGTCAGCCATCTCTGTCTTCCACCACTTCTGCAACATCCTTCATCGTTCCTGCTGCTTTCCAGCCTCCTGACTCCCAGCACCTCCAAGGCAACATGAGGTGAGGAGCTCGATTAGAGTTTAACTGGTCCTAATCACAGCACTTCCATGCACCACCTGCATGGCTGTGACTTCCCTGAAGCCCAGTTTCATAATTTGTAAATATGGAATGACAGCAGAGGCTGCCTCAGAGGGCAGTCAGGAGAGTAAGTTTACACCTGTCAAACAGTTACCTTGTGGGCTCAGGAATGCTACTTGCTATTCTTACATTCTCCCCAGACTTCCAGCCTCAAAAATCACACCTTTTTCTCTCTTTCTTCCCTCACTGGCTCAATCCTGTACGTTCTATCTTTGAAATGTCTCTCAAGGCTCCCCTGTTCCTGTCTGTTTTGGTGCTCCAGATTAGTCTCCTTGGAAAAGTTCTTCATCTGTATTTCTCTTCCTGTTTTCTCTCAGTCCTTCCCTCAGCAGGGAAGGGAAGACCTTGGCCGGGAGTTCTCTGAATAGGTTCACACACAACACTACATGATATCAAAGAAGGCAAAGTGGGGCTGAGCCGTCGGCACAGGACTGCAGGAATCAAAGTCAAGGTCATTACTGTAGAGTTGGGTTCTAATCATAGCTGCCCCTCCAGTAGGTTTTTAGAGGGCTGTAAGTCACATGGGAAGAGATTGCCTGTCTTTCTCCCTTGGTACCCCTGGTGGAATCTATCTGCCAGAGAGACATTGCCTTTGGGTTGGCGGCACAGTGCCCTGCAGACCACACCACCAATGTTCCCTAAGACTGGAGCAGAGACCTGCTCTTTTTAGTTAAAACAAAAACAACCACTTTATTTCTTTTAGGGAAAATGCAAATCAAATATGGTAAAATGCTAGCATTTATTCATCTACAGGGGATCCATGAGCATCTGCATATTATTTCCTGACCCTTTTGGTTTGAGATAGAATGGAGGACAAAGGTTCTAAGCTCCATCAGGGAACCTGGTTTTGAGTTCCTACTTGTTTATCTTGGCTTTTGGCTGAAGCCACCATGTTTCTCACTCAGTTTCCTCCTGTGTGAAGTAACTGCTGATCTAACGTTAAATACTCTGTCATCTGTAACCACAGTGGTCACAGTCAGATAAAACCTACAGAGGAGTTCAGCCAGCTGGTTCACGCGCACTCAGCGCAGGTCCTAAGGAATCCCACTTCCCAGGACCAGTTGACATGAGGACTTGAAAAATTCCTGGCAGGCCTCCCCTTGCTGCTGGCCCAAGAGTGACCAGGTTTAAGTGTCTACACGTCAGGTTTATTATTCTAAGCTGTCATATGATTCTCAGATGGTTCCAAACTGGCGTCTTTCCACCACATCCACTACTAGGAGGGGAAATACATTTTGGCTCCGGGATTTAAAAGTCCAGGAATCTTGGCAGGAACATAGTAAATCCTGTCAGACCTGAAGCCGGGACACATGACTCTTAGTGGGGAAAAAGTTTCTCATGAAGGGTTTCAGTGAAAAGCAAATGTTTCCGGGAGAGAAATGTTGGGTCTGTATTTTCTGGAGCTGAGGAGTTAGCATCTTTCTGAAAGGTCACCAGACCTCAGCAGGAAGAGGGGGACAGCAGAAGCTTTCCTAAAGTTGCTAGAACTCCCGCTCAACTAGCAGCAGCGTCCTCAGTTTTTAGAGTAAGCAAGGATGCACTACCACTCCCCATGCCATGCCCACTGTACCCGGCAAGGGGCGCTCTTCCCCGGAGGACCAGGTGCTCTGCGGAGTGGCTGGCAGAGAAGAGGAGTATTGTTAATGGGGCAGGTGGCCCTGATATCCAGTCTCTGAATGGTGCTGGGAACACAAAGCTTTGGGTGACTGGAGGGCCCACAAAGGGGAAAAGTGAGCTGCTGCTGATGGTGGTGGTAACCTTTAGTCCCATAAAGAAGAGCTTTGAGGAGGAAAGTTGAGTTAGGGATGTTTCAGGTGGTTTTATGTTTTCCTTTCTGATATTTTGTGTTAGGGTGTGGCTATTTTATTTTTTTTTTGGAAAAGGTTGGCGGGATGGACATATATACCTGATTTTTCACTGGTGTGACAAAATTTCCCTTCTTCCGCCAATCTACAAAGGCTGGATAGGGCCCAGTACCGCGGAGGTAGTTACTTTTGGTGGCTGAGCAGTTCTGAAACAATCAAACACATCTTTTCAGGGAAATAAAACAGAACTTTGACTCAAAATTAAACAAGACAAAATTTCATACAATTAATAAGGAATCTACAAGAACAAAAAGGAAATAAATGCTAAACCTCAAGTGAAGAAAAGAAATAGAATCACCGAGAGAATGAGAAAGGCTGCAAGTGTCAGAATCATCTGCCCTCCCATCCTCACCCCACTCTGCTGGTCCCAGACACTGAATGGTCTGCACCCTTGAAAACACCAGTCAGAGAATGTGTTGGCTTCTTGTTGTTGTGTACCATTGAATCAGAACTGATCCATAGCTGACCTTCAAGTAGGTTTTCATAGTCAGTAATCACATGGGAGGCGATTGCCCATCCTCCCACGGAGCAGCTGGTGGAGTTGAACAGAGTACCTTGGCGATTGCAGTGTAGCTTAATACCACCAGGGCTTTTTAGGGTAACTTGTTTTGTACGGTCAAGTCAGAATTGACCCATAGCTCATCATTTGGCGGGTTTTCAGTTAATCGCTTGGAAGGAGACTACCCATCTTTCACCCACAGAGCAGCTGGTGGTTGATTGCAGGGCAGATCCTTACTGCAGGCCACTAGACCGCCCTAGAGTAACTGTTGTAGTTATGTAGCATAGAGTCAAAACGGACCCATAGCTGGCCCTTTAGCAGGTTTTTAGATGCAGCTAATAGCTTGGGAGATTTCTCCCCTTCTCCCGTCGAGTGGCTGGTGGCCTTGAACTGCATGCCTTCAGGATTACAGTGCAGCTCCCTACCCATTAGGCCACTAGAGCTCCCTGAGGTAGGAATAGATTTAGTGTACGGTTTATTCTGAGTCCATCTCTTTTGAGATATAAAAGGTATTAAACACAGGTTACCAGGCAGAGATGAAGGAAGCAGTGCCAAGCCATATGAAGAAGACCCAGGAGTAGAACTAGACAGGGAGAAAATAAGTGTTTCTTTTTGTTAAAGCCATTCACTTGTGACATTTCTGTAATAGCACCAGTAGCTAAATAAGTCCTTGCTGTAACAGAAAAAGCCCTTCTGGGTGGCTTTAACACACAAAATTTTAATTTTCTTGGAGTTTCGGAAGCTAGAAGGCAATTTAGGAGATGGTCCTCTTCCTGCTGGCTCTGGGATAAGGGCCTTGTTTCTTCTGAGTTTGGGCTCCTGGATGACCTCCCTGTTGCTTGGCCTCTGTCCTGCACTCTGCTCACTTTAATGTCTTCTGTATCTCACAAGAAATTGTTGTTGTTATGTACAAATGAGATTGACTCAAGATAATACATCCTACACTAAAGATGCCTTATTAACCTAAGACAATTCTTCCCAAGTGGGATTATTTTCTTAATTAATGATTTTTTTAATGCAACATATATATTTACAGAATATTCTTTCCATTTAATTTCCCCCATTCCTTCATTGTTGCACATTTTCTTCGCTACCCACTCCTTCCCCCTAGTTTATTTTTTCCTTTGTAGAAAAAAAATTCTTTCATTTTTATACAATATCCCCCCTCAAGTCCACAGTCTACTTTAATATGCATTTCTTTTTCTGTAATCTTGTCATGAAGATACCTAATCCTGTTTTTCTTTTAAACAGTTCTCTCCCTCATCTGTTTCAATGCAGTATACATTATTTATCCCCTTTTCTTTGGTTCCCCCCAGTCCCAATGTCAGTCCCGTTTTACTATGCAGTGGCACTATGCAGTATTTGTCCTTTTGTGACTGAGATATTTCATTCAGTATTATAACCACAGGTATAAAAACCCAACTGATTGCCATGGCATTTTGGAACTGGCTCAAAGTTCACCCTCCAGTGTATTTCTAGAGGCTGTAAATCATGTGAGAGGAGACTGCTCATCTTTCTCCTGTGGAGTAGCTGGTGCATTTGTACCACCTGCCTTATGGTTGGTAGTGCAACTCCTTAACCACGAGGCTATGAGAGTTCTGATGTCAAGTGTACTGAGTAGGATTTACAAGACGTATTTTGGGGACAAAATTAAATTAATTGGAACTTCAGATAAACAATTTTTAACTATATATAGATTAATTATACATAAAATGTGTAATATCTATATCTGTCTATCTGTTGTTCATAGTGTTGCTATGAATCATAGTCCATGGGATGGCACCTAACAACAATAACAGCAACTTTTGGGATATAACTAACATTTAAACTGAGTCTGCATTTTATTTGGCGACACGATGATAGAGATCCATGTTGCTGAGGCCATAGGCCTGCAATCTGCGGCTTTTCTGGGAGCTGACTTCTCTGACTCCCCCAAGAATCTAGGGAAGCCACCTAGCTTTGGCTGGAGATGTGACTAAATCTAACTGGAGGCAGAGCAGCTATAAATTTATTCCAAAGGAAAAAGTTCAGATTTGGTAACAATGGACAGCACTTACCTGAGGCTCTGACCAAAGATAGGTCCGTTTTATTTCCTCAAAGGTCATGTCTGAAAATTGATTCAGTGCCACTGAAGAGAACAGAAAAACCCAAACCAAGTTTAGAATGAGTTAGCTTTTAATGCATCACTAATCTTTTGTTCATAGGGTTACTATAAGTCATGCTCGACTAGATGGCAATCATCAACAACAGTAAACAAAAAACAGTGAGCTCCCTTGTCCACCTGCAACTTGGCTCCATTAAATGTTTAAAATAGTTTCATATACCCCCGTTTCCCATTTCTCTTGTCACTGCTGTTGCATTGGTTCCTGAATTTCCAAGGCTGTAAATGGCACAGGAGGAGACCTGTCTTTCTTTCCCAGTGTGACAGTGGATTCAGACTGCTGGAGAAGCACGGTCTTTGGGTTATCAGTGCCTCTCTTGACAGGCTATGCCAGCAGACTTCCAGGTCCCCAGCTGCAGACTCTTTGGGAGCTGGTAGTCCTGACTGGGCATCGGCATCGTCAGGCAAGCTTTTAGATGGACAGGAGGAGTCTGGGCTGCATCCCAGAGATGTGATATAGTTTGCAGTGGGACTTGGGCATTTGTGTCGTCAGAAGTCTGGCTGAGGAGTCAGGTGGACACCACACCGGGACGAGAACATTCCCACTTGATACCACATTCAGTCATCAAAGCAACCCAACAGAGGAGCATGATCACCCCACTTTACAGCTGCGTAAAACTTCAAACATGTTAACTACCTGAAGAGCACACATAGGTGCTCTGCTGACCCAATACTTATTAAGTGCTTAGCTGCTAACTGAAGGGTTGGTGGTTTGAACTCATTGGTGCTCTGTAGGAGAAGGGACCTGGAAATGGGATTCTGTGGTCTTCCCGCTTCTGGCACTAAATCTGAAATATTTCCGAGCTATGCCCGTATTTGTGTGTTTCTAATGAAGGTAGATGCTCGGAGAGGCTGCTCAGGAATGGAGAGATCCAAAGGCAGAGTCAGCATCTCTGTTCAGCCTTGAAACAGTATGAACAGACAGGCAGGCTCATATGGTTCTAGAAGCCTTTCAAACACCAGCAATAATATCAGCATTAACCTACACTGACAACCCTGTGTCACCCCTTGAGCAATAATAACCAGAACTGGAGCTTAGGAGATATGACTTCAGGGCTTGGTGTCAGCCTCCTCCACCCAGAAGACCCATGAATCCATTTCTTTCTAGCTGCTCCCTCCTCCCAGGGTCTCCAGAAGTCTGGAGGGAAAGCCACTGTACTTTTGAAGGTGTGGTTCCTAGCATTGTGGGCATTTATTTTCCTCCAGTTGCTGACGAAGGTTTGCTGCCTTTGGTGATACTCTTCTGAGCTGTATTTCTTCTGGTGCTAAAACAGAACACATCAGCAGTAAGTCACAGAAACAGGATGCAGCTTTATTATATTCACAGGATGTTTTCTAAGAGGAAGGATGGAGGTGGTTAGGTTTTTGTTTTTGGCTTGGGTCAGGCACACCCTAGACCTGAAAGTGACATCCTTGCTCTTTAACACTTTAAAGAGGTCTCTAGCACCAGATTAAATTTTTTTTTTATATTGCCTTTCCTTTTACTCAATTTTTGTTCCCCTCTCTCACTCTTCTCACCTCTCTTTACCCTCCAAGATTGATTCTTTCTGTGTGGAAACCTTTTTTAGCTTTCTCTATTAGTGGTCTTATAGCATAATTGTCCTTTTGGGATTAATGTATGTCATTCATCATAAAACATTCTACTTTCACTCCTGTTGTGTAGAGTTTCACAAATTCTTGATCTTAGTGATGCATAATGTTCCATTATGTGAACGGACCGCAGATTTTGCTGTAAGTCTCGGGCTGTGTCTGTGTTACCCACTGGAACAAGGTCTGGGGTCTCTCCTTGACAAGGACAAATAAGCCCTTGCCACCGGGAGGTCCTGTCAGTATTGGAAGTCAAATGACTGTCTTAGGGGTTTGGGCAAAGAGACTTGTTAAGTGCCTCGCCCCTGGGCCAAGTTTATGTAAAAAAAAAATCTCTATTTTCAAAAGTACAATTGCTAAATATAAACCAACTGATTTTGCAGTCAGTGTACAATGTGATTTGAAAACAAAATAAGGAAATGAATTCCAAGGCTTGAAAAGCTGCTGGCCAATTCTCCTGCACTGTCATTGAGGATTACCACTTGGGAGGAGCTGATTGTAGCTTTCTGTGTTTGACAGATTCTCAGTGCCAGAAGACCCTGAGAGGAGTGAGGTGGGGAAAGCTCAAATCTGATACCATTTGCTTTGATAACAGGAAACTTGTGAAATGTGAAAGTTCAAAAAGAAGAAGTTGGAACTGACCTGCAACATCCATGACTTAAAATGAAACTTCTCTGCAAAAAGAAAAAAAATATCAGTTTGTGTGCCTCTTAGTAATAGTACAGATAAGTAAGGTACTTTAGAACCTGATTTGCATTTTGAGTAACCAAAATAAACTTAGAACACCAAAAGTGGTGCTATTTAAGAAGAATTCACACTTTTAAATTTAAACCCCAAATTAATTTTGATAAGCCATACACCATTTGGTGGCACAAATGGTAAATGTACTGGATTGCTAACCTAAAGGTTGGTGGTTCAAGTCTGCACAGAGGTACCTTGGAAGAAAGACCTGGTGATCTATAAAATTGAGTCCCTGAAAAGCCTATGGTAAAGCCCCTGAGGGGTACAGACAGTCTGTGATTGCCTGGGAACACAGAGGTTATTGGTTCAAACATACACAGTGTTATATAAGAAGAACTAGACTGGTTTTTGTTGAGATTACAGCTACCTCTACTCCATACTTAATGGAGTCTGTCAAATGAATAAAAAAAAAGCTGACAAGTGAAAGTATTGTGGAGTGCAGTTCTGCCCTGTCTCACGTGAAGGAACTATGAGTCAGGATCAACTCATACAACCATGCTTTAAAAAAGTATAAACCTTTAGCTTATAAGTCAGAACATCAGGACAGCAGTTATCCTTACTGGGGGCAAAGAGGTGGCTTCTGAAATGTTGGCAATGTTAATTTCTTTATCTGGGTGCTGGTTACTGGAGTATGAAAGTAACAGATAGTGAACATTCATTGACATGCATGTTCATGCATTTGACTTTTACATGTTGTGTATACATTTTTCTGTATGCTGTTATATTTCAGTGCTGCTGCTTTTGTTGATTGCTGTTGAGTAGAGCACGACTCATAGCGACCCTATGAACAAAAGACCTGAAGTCTTTCTATAACTATCGTTGTTTCTCAAAATGTATAGTTTCCAGAGGCCTGTTGTTTAGGAAGTAGACACCATTCTTCCTTTCAAACCGGTCTCAAACTGGGAGCTCCACCAAACACTGTCCACCATGGGTAACTGTTTTGTCATTTGACACCCCAGTGGCACAAGGTTCAGCATCACAGCAACCCCAGGTTACCTGAGTACAGCAAATGGACAGAAGAGTCCTGTACCACTTAGAAGAATGTTCCTCCAAAATATAGTAACAACAGATTTTTTTTAAATACAGAGGCTCTTCAAAAAGTCTTGTTCACTCTAAACAAGAGGCTTAAAAAATAAGTTTTAATAAAAAAATCTGTAGAGCCTAGGACTAAGCCAACTTTAGGGAGCTCTGGTAGCTTAGTGGTAAGGAATTGTGCTGCTAACCTGAAGGCATGTGGTTTCAGTCTAGCAGCTGCTCTGTGTGAGAAAGATGGGCAATCTCATGTGATTTACTGCCCCTGAAAACCCGCTGGAGAGTCAGTTATGAGTTGGTTCCGACTTGATGGTATATAACAACAACAACAACAACAAAGCCATTTTTTTAACTATCTTAAAGGAACAGCTAGTGAATATTTCAGGCTTTCTAGTCCCTTTGGTCTCTGCCTTGTAGTTCAGAAGCAGCCATAGAAAACAAATAGGCCTGGCTGTGTCTGATATAGTGAGTTAGGTGCTAACCCAAAGGTGAGAAGTTTGAATCCAGCAACCACTCAGAGGGAGAAAGATGAAGTCTGCTCCCGTGATATTTTGTTTCCATAAGCTGTAGATGACTTGAAGGCAATGGGGTTAATTTGGGTTTTTGGCATTGGAAGTCCCTGCACATTTTAAGCCATCTAAAATTTTCATTTTAATTGTATGTCAATGATGTGCTCAAGAATTTTGTAAATATTGACAAGATATAATGACAATGTTGTTATGTACTGTCAAGTTGGAACAGACTCATAGCAGCCCCTCCAGCAGGTTTTCAGAGGCTGTAAGTCACACAGGAAGAGATTGCCTTTCTGTGGAGCAGGTGGTGAATTTGAACTGTATGCTTTTGGGTTGACAGCTCAACTCCTTACTACTAAGATAAGATAGTTACACCAGTATGTTAAAGCGAACCCACGGACTGTAGAAACGGCAACTGTTTTGTTACCTATATATTTGTTACACACACACACACACACACACACACACACACACACAAACGCTAATGGATTCGGTAACTACTATCAAGAGCATGAATACCTTCTTCATTAAGCTTTGGATATTTTACATAGTCTCTTTTCCTCCCCGAATCCTATCACCACCCTCCACTCACAGAATTTTGTCCTAAGGGAGCATTTTCTATACTTCATATTCTGACATATTGTTTCTACAACAGCAACAAAACATACAACTTGGAGTTATTTTTATTTCTCGTGCCCTCTGAGTCTGGATGGAAGGCCTGGTGGCGTCTTCTGTTGCCAGCTCAAAGGCCATACCTCTCTAGTAGTTCAAATTCACCAGTGGCTCTGCTGGACACCGAAGAGCCATATCTTACCACTGCGATTGACAGCACTGGAAACCTGTGAAGGGGCTCCATAAGGTCAGAACCAACTTGACAGCAGTGAGTCGAGAAGAGATATACTATGAAAGGGACCCTAGTGGTACAGTGGTTAAGGACATAAGGGTCAACTATAAAAGTAAGGGGTTCAAACCCACCAGCTGTTCTGCAGGAAGGTGTGACAGTCTGCCTCAGTAGAGATCAGAGCCTTGAAAACCCCAGGACACAGCTCTGCTGTGTTCTGTGGGGTCACTACAACTTAGTATCACCTGAGTAGCAACATATTTTTGTTTTTCCCTCTAAAATATATATTATGAAAAATAATTAGTAGGCATAAAAAGTGAAATTGTACTGGAACTGCACCTTTTAATGAGATACACATGTTCATGGGAGGATATTACCTATTGCACTCATTTTTGTTCTGGCTTTATTTAACAGATCCATGGGCTGAGAAATCCTGCTCAAGTGAATAGTTCAGTTTGTTGAATTCCTTCTGATGCCCAAGATCAGATGGCCTTCTGTCATGTGATCTCTTTAGACCTCATCAGCTGATACTTCCACAAGGTTCTGTATCTTTTCATTTCAGTTTCAAGAAAGAATTGGAAATACCCAACTTGAGGAAAGATTTGTTACCAGTTGCCCTTTCCCCCTGACGTCAGGCCACGTAGGTGAAGACTGAGGATGACTAAAAGGACATGGCCTGCAGGAGAATATATGGAAGCAAAGGTCTGGAAACAGATTCCCTTCACACCATCCGTGCTCCTACCCAGTTTGGATGCCTGCCTCCAGGAAGTGGATGTCAACACTCCAGTTTGAAGACCACTGTGTGAAGAATCTCTGAGTAGTGCAAGAGGTTACATTCTCACTACTAACTGAAAGGTTGGCAGTTCAAATCTACTTATGGGCACTACAAGAGTTAAAGCCTGGTGATCTGTTTCTGAAAGGTCAAAACCAAATTCACTGCCATTAAGTTCAACCCGACTCACAGTGACCCTCCATTGGGTTTCCCAGGCTGTAAACCTTTACAGGAATAGACTTGTCTGTCTTTCCCCCAAGATGCTGCTGGTGGCCTCGAACCTTTAGGTTAACTCCCTGACATGCATGCACTACGCCACCATGGGCCCTCTGAAAGGTCACAGCCTTGAAAGCCCTGTGAGGTGCAGTTCTTCTCTGCAGATGAGTGTATCAGCACCTTCATGGCATTTAGAACTCTCAGGGACATGCTCCAGACACTCATGTCAACTACAGTGTTGTTCCCTGGGAAATATGCAGATACAGAAAAACCTGTGAAAGCTGACCTTGTGAAAGGTGGAACCTATCAGAGAAGGAAAACAAAAATATTTTTTCCTCCAATGAAGGAGTGGCCTCCACCTCCTAAACAACACGCCTCTGGAAACCCTGTGAACTGTGATAAATGTTGATAGTTGTAGAGGGGCTCCAAGCCTTTTGTTCATAGCGTTGCTATGACTTGTGTTCTACTCAAAGGCAATCAACAACAACAACAACAATAACAACAACAACAACAGTGAAAGAAAAGTGGTATCCCTGTCAGTGGCATAGAGCTGAGAGACCCTCAAGTGAAAAACACTACAGTCCTGCAGAGTTCAGCTCTCACGGGGACCATGGAATACCAATATGGTATTTGTAGGCTTTAAGGAGATTCTAGTCTTGGGTAAAGGCCCTGTTAGAGATGACTGTTTCCAAGGAAGGGATTGAGGCTTGGGGCAAGAGGGAGGAGCATTTACTTCTGGGTGCTTTCAAAAGCAATATGAAGGTGTGGCAACTCTGGACTTGTATTTGCAGAAAGCTAGTGGAAGCAAAGCAATCAACTCCCCACAGGGAGAACACTGCAGAGTGATGAGGCCCATAGGATGGGCTGACAAAACATCAGCATCCCATACCCAAACTCAAACAGACCTGTTTTAGCTCAGTTGTCACTTTTTGAAGAATAGCACACTTAAGTGTATAAAGCAGTAGAACCCTACAGTGTATTCTGCTAGGGCTGTATCTCTGTGCACATCCTGAACAAGGCAGGTGCTCAGGGAAACTTGTGCTCAGGAACAATCTCTACATTGGGGCCCCTCTCCCCAGTTTCAAGGTGAGGACACCCTGATTGCAGTGCTGCTTTAACAGAAATGCCTTAACCCCTCTGGTCTGGCTGCTTCATCAGTCAGGTGCTTTCTGTACTTGTGGAGCCTAAGAACGTCATTCTGGGCCTAGTCTGGCGGCTCCTTGAACTTGTGCCCAGGTCAAGTGCTTCCCTCTGCTGCCTGCTCGCTATGCCTGTGGAATAGGGGCCAACAGACTGTATCTTTCTTGCTAAGAATGTCCGTTGTACTTTTAAATAATTGTAGAGGTAATTCCCCAAAAGGAAGCTAGAATGTCTGTGATGTATGAAAAATGAAATGAAATTCAAATTTCAGCATCTCCTTAAAGGTTTGAGAGTGTGCACCCACACATTCATTTGCATGCAGTGATAGAGTTGAGTGGTCGTCACAGACTGTAGGGACCACATTGTCTAAAATACTCACTGGCTGGCCTTTTATAGAAAAAGACTGACAACTGTTAACTCTAGAGTCAGGACAGATTTTCAGCTTAAACCATTCTCAATACCAGCAACGTGGTCTCAGCAAAGCAGAGCTCTTGTCTGAGTGTAACTGGGCTTTCCTTTGCTGGGACACTAACCCAAAGGATGGTGGTTTGAACTCACAGAGGCGTCCCGTGGTCTGTTTAGGAAAGGCTGTATATACCCATGAAAACCCTGTGGTTCTACTCTCATACACTTGGTGTTGATATGAACTGGAATGGACAGGGCAGCAACAGGTACATCTGAACTGGAGTGGGAGTCCTTTTCAATTTCAAGGCTTGGTTGAAAAGGCAAAATTCACTGGCCTTTGTCTCAGTTCCTGGCTCTTTTTTCTTATCTATTGTCTCTGTCCCTAGGGTGAGGCAGGGAGCTGGGCCTTGAAGGAGGGAGGCTAGGAAAGCAGGTATTTTGCCTTCAGCTCCGGAAGGGTGGAGCGCATGTTGCCCAGAGGCAGAGGAGACTGCCAGGGCAGGGCTGGGGCTGGAAGGGGATCTGTGGAAGCTTGATGTGACCCAGGGGTCCTTTGGAGCACCTCAGCTATAGGGACTGTTGGTCTGTGTGCATCCCTGGCCACCAAGAGTCCTGTCTTCCAAAAGCACGTGGAACCCATGGGCTTTCAAGGGACCTATGGAGATCCCCTATGTGCCAAGTCCCTATAGATGTTGAGAGAAAGCTGGAAAGTCCCTGCCTGCCTTTGATTGGACAGATCTACGTCTCAAGTTGGGAGGAGGAGGGCAGAAAAGGTGCGGGCATCTTTGCTATTCTAGGCTCTGGAGCCACCAGGGTAAGTAGGGCCCGTGGTGCCCAGCACACCACCTCCTCTGGCTCTGCAAAACGTCTGGCATTCAGTTTCTGGGCTGGAGACCCCGCCCTCATCCTAATCTGCAGAACCCTGGATTTTAGATTGGAAAACACTCGGACCCCGCCCCCCTATTACAGCCCCGCGCAGTTCCTCCACCTCCCCAAATTCTCTCCAGTGCCCCAGCTCGGACTTGGGGGCCTGTCCTCCCCAGAGCTCTCCCGGGGTTCTGAGCGCCCCTTTTCGTACCGTAGAAGCTCATGGACAGGGTGTCGGCTTCGCAGGCGGGGGGTCCCAGGAGCCAAGCCCCCGCGCAGAGCAGCTGCAGGACGACCCACATGCTGGCAGCGGCAGCACGGCAGGCGCTCTGTCTCCGCTCGGGTGGGGGCGGTGGCCCCAAACGACAGCCCGGAGGCGGGGGGCGGGGCGAGGGGCGGGGCCTGGGCGTTAACTGGTGCCTCCCCCGGCCCGGAACCTCCTGCTGAGCGGCTCAGGGCACAACCTGGAAGGCGCCTCACCTTTCTCCCTCTGCCTCCTCCCAGCTTCTCAAGACCCCATTCTTCCCTTATCACAGCATTCTTTTTTCTCCTCTAGAAGGAAGACCAGATCTTGGGGAGCCTGTAGGGAGCTCTGCAATTCCAAAGGCACGTGTCTCGAATCCACCAGCTGCTCCACGGGAGAAGGATGAAAGGGCAGTCTCCTCCTGTGTGGTTTACTGCTTCTGAAAACCCACTGGAGAGTCAGCTATGGGTCGGTTCAGAATGCACGGCACACAACAGTGGAGCCATTGCTCGGTGCCCAAGTCTTAGTCTGACCACTCCTGTCTGTCCCCATCTTCAGAGACCCCCGTGTCCCTGCCTGTGCCCATCCCAGTACTCGCTTGTGCCTACCACCGCTTGTCTGCTCTCTTCTTTTTTGCCCTCCGTGTCCCCACTGTATGGGCTACATCCCCCTTCTGCCTTGGGAGGAATTCACCACTAGAATTAGATCCGGAGAGCTCAGCTTTGACTTTCGTTAACACCAGGCATTTGTAGTCATGTGTATTAGCACCTGCAGGGCTATTTTATCTATTTGGCAAATTTGAAGAAGGGAAAGAGGAAATGTAAGGATCTGAGTGGGACAGAAACAAATTGAACAATGCACATTTCAGACGTGAGAAAAATGTTCTGAAAAAGCATCTGAGGGGAGAGGCCAGTTGACACCCACCTGCAGTGTGCCATCACTACCCTGCAAGGAGGCATCCTATTGGTCCGCCTTTAGACAGTTGAGGAAACTGAGGCTTCTTGACAATAACTTTTCCATTAAGTGTGCAGAGAGAGTCTGTCTGAACGAAGGGGCTCTGAACCAGGTAGGACCTGGCCCAGCCTTCATTCGGCTCTGTTACAACTGGAAGCATTTTGGTGTGGGTACAGCCTGCACATGGGTTTCAGATCAGAATCCTGACTTTCTTTGGATCTAGGTTTCTTCTCCAAAAGTTCTCAACCCGGGCTCTGCCTTGAAGGCACCTGAGGGAGCTGATTCCTGCAGAGCGCTTGCCTGGGATTTGACCTGAGTGGTGTAACCAGATGCCATGAAAACTGCCAGCAGTCTTTATGGAAGATTGCAGTCCTTATCAAAGTTGATCACCAGATCTTTTTTCGGCAGAGCTGCTGAATGGAGTCAAATTCCCAATCAGCCTTTTCGTTATCAGCCAAACATTTAAGCATTCCACCATCAAGGCTCCTTGGTGGGTCTGAGAAGAGTCCAAGAACCAGCACTAGATAATCTCCATCCTCCTTGTACATGCATATTTGGTGCAGCCTGTGGGCACTTGGTCTGTCCAGGACCCAGCACACACTCAAAGCTGTCAAGTTGTTTCCAACCCATCACGATCTCCCACCAAGGTTTCCAAGTCACGATGAGAGAAGACTGCCCATCTCTCTCCCTTGGAGCAGCTGGTAGATTCCAATCACTGAAGCCTCTTGGCCACTGGGTTAATGGTACAATTCACTGTGAACTATGCACCCTGAGGGACCAGTGGCCAGATGCAGCCTCCCATACTTAACCCACATCTGTGTACTTTGAACCTTTGCAGAAGACTGCTTATCTTTCTCCCACGGAGAGTTAGTGGATTTGGACTGCTGGCCCTTAGGTTAGCAGTCCAATATGTTACACACTCTATTACCAGGGCACTGGCAGATACCATTCCCCGATCAAGCAGATCGTTATCAGCGTATGCATCCACCAGACTGGATGCCCCTGTAAGTGTGATTATTTAATTTTTACTTGAGGCAGTTGTCTCAGAAAAGACCTAGCTGCTATTTGGTGGTGTAGTTTGAAGCAAGTTGTGCTCCTAACCAAAAAGCCAAGGATCTCTAGGGGTTAGAATCTACCAGTAGCTCTGTGGGAGAAAAATGAGCATTCTCCTCTCTCCTGTTAAGGTTTTACAGTGATGGAAATCTAGTGAAGGATCACTGTGAATTGGAATTGGGAGTGAATTTGACTTGGTTTTATCTGCTATTTGGAAAGTAAGATCTCTGACCTTAAGATAAAGATTTCCTTCCATCTTACCCTTTAAGTTCTCCAGGACTGTCAATCCCTGTGCCTATCCCAGAGAGTAGTAAGACTATTAGACCACAGGCCTCAGATCTGCCTCCTCTGCTTCTGGGTCCCACTGATCCTCCTTCATGGATCCAGAGGACTTGAGATGGGATGGGGAGAGGGAGAGGACACCCACCTTGTCAGTCGTAGAACAATGTCTAGTTCAAGTCCTACCAGTGTGCAGTCTAGGCAATTGACTTGTCCCTTTTGGGTCTCACTTAGCTCATCTACAATGGGGATAATTTCCCTGCCTTTGAGTTGTTATTTTTATTTGCTGTTATGTGCTGTCATGTCATCTGTGACTCATAGTGACCCTATGCACAACAGCCCTAAACCCTACTCTATCCCTTGCCAATCTTAATATATCTGACACACCTATCCCCATTACTTCAGTGACTGAATTAGTCCATCTCATTAAGGGTCTTCATCTCCTGTGCTGTCCCTCCACCCTCTCAAGCATGATATCCCTCTCCAAGAACTGATCCCCCCTTGCAACATGTCCAAAGTATGTCAGATGAAGCTTCAGCATCCTTGCCTCCAAGGAGCAACCTGGCTCCATCCTCTCCAGGATGAACTTGTTTGTTCTCCTAGCAGTCCATGGTATATTCAACACTCTCCTTCAGCACCGCAGAGCAAAGGTATCCACTATCCTCTTATTATCCTTAGTCATTGTCCAGCTCTCTGATGCATTGCCAGTCACTAAAGACCATGGCCTATATAAGCGCCTTAGTCTCCAGAGTGACATCATTGCTCTTCAGTACTTTGGAGAGGTCTCTGACAGCAGACTTTTCCAATGCAATTCATCTCTTAATTTCCTGAATTCTGGTAGCAAGATTGTTGATTGTAGAGCCAAGTAAACTAAAGCTATCAACAATCTCAATCTCTTTACCATCTATCATGATGCTGCCAATCTTTGTTTTCTTGATGTTGAGTTTCAATCCATATTGGAGGCTACAGTCTTTGACCTTCTGCAACAAGCACTTCAGGTCCTCCTCAGTTTGAGCAAGCAGGTTGTGTCATCTGCATAATGCAGATTGTTGATGAGTCTACCTCCAATCCTGATGCCACACTTCTCATAGAGCCCAGCCTCCTGGATAATCTGTTCCACATATAGATTGAAAAGATATGGAGATAGGACACATCCTTGGCACACACCCTTCCCAATTTTGAACCATGCAGTGTTTCCTTGCTCTGTTCTGATGACTACCTTCTGATGCAAGTATAGTTTTCACATAAGCACAATCAAGTGTTCTGGGATTCCCATTCTCCTCAGAGTCAGCCACAGTTTGTTGTGATCCACACAGCCAAATGCTTTTGCATTGTCAATGAAACACAGGTAGATATCCCTCTGATACTCTTTGCTTTCAGCCAAGATCCATCTGACATTAGCTATAATATCTCTAGTGCCACAACCTCTTCTAAATCAAGCCTGTACTTCAGACAGTTCTCTGTTCATGTGCTGTTCCAGTCACTTTTGGATAATCTTCAACAGAATCTCACTTGCATGTGTATCAATGATACTGTTTGATAATTTTCACACTCTGTTGGATCGATCACCTTTCTTTGGAATGGGAACAAATATAGATCTCTTCCAGTCAATTGGCCAGGTGGTTGTCCTCTAGATTTCTTGGCACAATTTGATGAGCACATCCAGGGCAGCATCTGTTTGTTGAAATATGTCACTTGGTATGCCATCAATTCCTGGGGCTTTGTTTTATGCTAATTCTTTCAGAGCAGCTCAAACAGTCTTCCTTCATCACCACAGGGTCTTGCTTATACATTGTTTCATTAAATTCTTTTGTATCCACCAATTTCTTTTGGTACAATGACTCTGTATACTCTTTCCATCTTTTTTTTTTTCTCTTTCCATCTTCTTAAGCTTCCTGGATCATTTAATATTCTGCCCAATGTATCCTTAAGTATTGCAACTCAAGGTTTGAATTTATCCTTCAGTTCCTTCAACTTAAGAAATGCTGAGCGAGTTCAGCCCTTTTCATTGTCTGACTTTAGCTCCTTGCACATTTTATTGTAATACTTTACTTTGTCTTCCCACACTGCTCTCTGGAATCTTCTGTTCAACTCCTTAATATCTTGATTCCTTCCCTTTGCTTTGGCTTCTCAGTGCTCCAGTGCAATATTTAGAATTTCTTCTAACATCCGTCTTGATCTTTTCTTCCTCCTCTGTCTTTGTAATGACCTTTTGCATTCTTCCTGGATGATATTCTTGGTATCCTCCCACAGCTCATCCGGTCTTCACTCATTAATGTCCAAGGCCTCAAACCTGTTCCTGAGATGGTTTTGAAATTTAGGTGAGATAGACTCACGATCAAATGCCTGGCTTTATAATAGTTATTTCCTCCAATGTGAGCTTTTCCAAAGCTCAGCCTTGCATTCTCTGTCTTTTGTTAGCTGCACACACTTTCTTTTTTCTCATCTTATTTAACGAGAAAGATTTAGGAGCCCACTTCTGCAAAGATTTACATTGCAGAAAAGGTAATTCCTGACATTTTCAGAGCAAAATGAGAAGATGTATGAAAGCCTAATTGAGAAAAAAATATAGTTTAAAGTTTATAACATAAAATAATGATTAGCACACTTGCTCAGTTCAGAGTCTGACAGTGTAATTGGACCATGATAGAAACATTCTCCCTTTCCTACTTAGTCTCAAAATGTGATGAATTGTTATTGTTGAGTTGGTTGTTATTGTTTGAATTGTTTTATCACTGAGTTGGAACCAACTCATAATTGACCCTCTCTGAG